CTCGGAGCCTGAAACCTGCTTTGGATTCTCTCTCTCTCTGCCCCTCCCCCCCTTGCACTCTGTCTCCCTTTTAAAAATAAGTAAACATTGTTAAAAAATATTAAAAAAGAATTAAAGAGGGACACGTGGGTGGCTCAGTTAGGTAAGCATCTGACCCTTGATTTCGGCCCAGGTCATGATCTCAGAGTTGGTGGGTTCAAGCCCCGTCAGTCAGGCTCTGCTCTGATGGCACAGAGCCTGCTTGAGATTCTCTCTCCCTCTCTCTCTCTGCCCACCCTCGCTCATGTGCACACTTTCTCTCAAAAATAAATATTAAAAAAAAAAAAAGATACCTTAAGCTAAATACGCTAAGACTCTTAAAGGCCAGGCTGTCATGAGAGGTCATTTGGAGGACAACAGTCGACTCATTTCTCAAGTCTGTATCCAGTATTTGTTTCCTTTTTCTTGCCACCGTTGCCTGTATGGGTGTCTATTATCCCACTGTCCGTGCTTCCTCTTGTGGAAAAGCACTGTCCCGACAAGCTCATTTTCCCGTCTCAAAGCCAGAATCTTCGAGATGCCTCGAAATTAAGACAGAGATGCTCATTTTAATGAAAATGAGTAGAAATAAAAACATATGCATTTTAATCGTATTTGGAAGTTTTAAAAAATCGTATGATCATCTGGACTAAAAGGTAATAAAATTAATTAACCTTCCCTTCATTTCAGAATACCCTCCTTTTCTCCTTGTCGAGTAGTTGACTCTCTTAAGTATCCGCATGCCTGTGAAGATGGATCAGGTGTCGCGCACACAGCCGTACGGGTCAGCCCTGAGCACCCAGGCAGGCCCCGCGCCAGCGTCTCGTGCTCAGAGAGGCCCTGCCCCCTCCTGGACAGTCGCAGGGGACAGACAGACATGCAGCCTGTTCACTGTGTGTGATGAATATGAAAATGGACCTAGGCGTGTGTAAGTTGTCAGGAAGGACGGCGTGACAAAGCCTCAGCTATCAGAAGGAATGCAATCTTGAGTTGGAGAGGAGAGCCCGGTTTGTCTTGCGGGGTCTTCTAACGGAAGGAGCACTGGCTTTCACGGCAGACAGACTGAGGTTCTGCCACTTTTTTTTTTTTTTTT